CACGGCATAACACCTGTTGTTCTGTGATTTTTGATAACACACAGATGGCAAGTACCAATTGACTCAATCTGTGTAAGGCCAGGGAAAGCCCAACATGAAAACTATTTAGGGGTCTTAAAGAGAGAACTTAAACAATAATTGACAAAGAAAGTTTTGCCTACCTTTGTTGATTAACCATGTTAGAAACGATACCTCTTCTTTTACCCCGGATTGTTTATCTACTGTAGGCTATATGTAATATTTTGTCGAGCCTATATCTGTCCTGAGTCAGGTTTGCATTTCTCTGGCGATGCCAAACCTTTTCCAGGCATCTCCTTTTATATTCCTAGTGCAGTAACTTTCTGTTTTGTTTCCCAGAAACGATGGGGAAGGGAATCTGATACATCATAATATTCCTTGGTAATAAACAATTTTCTTTTTATTGAAATAGTAATGAGTTCATTAATCATACCTTATTCACAATAGCGTATATGACAACATCTATTTGTACTGGTGTAATTCGGCTGACTTTTATATTTGATCCAATTGGTAGATAGGCTATATTTACACCATAACGGTGCACAGCTGATAGAAAGGGACACCTAGTGGTTAAAGCACGTTATTGAATTTGATTATTTTTATTATTAGATATTAATAGGAGACACAGACAGACAAACTAATAAGGATTTAAAATAAAGAAGTGTGTGAAGTGTGGCTTGATATTGAGTTAGAAAAAGGTTGATATTTCTTCGTTACGGCAGCATGTGTAACAGTTTTAAATATGCAGTGGTGTTTATTTGTAAATCATTTAGTATAATCACACACATTCTGTGTTTTATATTTAATAATTCTGTATTCTTTATTTATTGAATGTTCAATACCTGACAAGGTCGGAGATGAAAAACTTGGGTCGCAGGTTCCTCAACAGTGCATTACAAGACATCTATCAATATGTGTGTATACCTCCACCATTAAACTGTCGTATTCTGCACATTTCTTATACTATTTACATACATCTTATAAGAGTATAATACATATGTATAATATCAGTTAAAATAAGTGCTTAAACATACAGTAGTTAACATTGCAGGAAAGCAATATATTAGTACTTTGTCAGGCTTAATATTTATCTGTATACCCCCCATAATAACGTGCTTTAACCACTAGGTGTCCCTTTCTATCAGCTGTGCACCGTTATGGTGTAAATACAGCCTATCTACCAATTGGATCAAATATAAAAGTCAGCCGAATTAGTATTGATACTGCAAGGAGACTTATATTGTGAAGAGAAATTGAAGATGTTGTTTAATTACTGATATGTTTATGATCCACGTCACATATTCAGTTTCGGCGGCAGTTCTTCCTGTTTGTCCAGAAGTCTTCTCATCAGGGCTCTAGCGAACTACGGCAGATATGTAATATTTAATGCAGCCGAACCGTGTATTACAATGCCGTTATGTGATGACCTCCAAAGAGAAAAGCAAGCAAACTCGGAATAAAGTATTATTTTATTTTAAATTTTTTTTTTCGGATTTCACATCTTATAAACACCATATCCCAGCGTGCATTGCGGCTAAAACATCCAAATCACCGAGCTGAGGATCTTGCCTACGTCTGTTTCCGGTATTGTTTATGACGGATGTATTTTGTTATTACTGTAGTGTAGAGATGGCAAATCCGGATCATTTTACGGACTCAGGGTCTTCTGAGTCAGTCATTGAAGAGATCCGGATCATACGAGTCATTTGAGTCATATGAGTCAGCATGACCAAGACCGTAGAAATCCTATTGGTGAAACCGAAAAGTTGTTGCATTTCACGAGCATATTATTATTCCATATATTTTGAATATATATATATATATTTGTATATATATATATATATAATATCTGCATGTATATTTTCTATTTCGACATGTATATTTTATATTTTATATTTTATTTTATTTTTATTTCTATTCTTGTATATTTTGTAGTTTTGTTTTATTGTAAAATGCCTTATGCTGCTGTAACAACAACAATTTCCCAATTTGGGATCAATAAAGTACTATCTATCTATCTATCTATTAAACTGACGTTATATTAACCTCCGCTACACATTGTATTTTGCTTTAATAAAAAATGTTGATCACAAAAAAAAGGGTTATTTTGCGATTTGGCAAATCTGAGTCTGCTGTTGACTCGTGCATGAGGACAAGTCTGCTGGATCTCTGGATCTGCTGCTATATACGGCTCCGAGTCCGCACGAGTCTGCTCTGCTGTGTGTTGCACACACAGTGAGTCAGGATTTGCGAATCCGAGTCTGCTGTGGACTCGTGCATGACGGACGAGTCTGCTGGATCTCTGGATCTGCTGCTATACGGTTACGGCTCCGAGTCCGCACGAGTCTGATCCGCTGTGTGTTGCAGCGAGTCAGGATTTGCGAATCTGCGAATCCGAGTCTGCTGTGTGGACTCGTGCATGACGACGAGTCTGCTGGATCTCTGGATCTGCTGCTATACGGTTACGGCTCCGAGTCCGCACGAGTCTGATCCGCTGTGTGTTGCAGCGAGTCAGGATTTGCGAATCTGCGAATCTGCGAATCTGCGAGTCTGCTGTTGGAGCCGTCGGCTCCTCTGAGTCCCCACGAGTCTGCAGGAAGTTTCACTGATCCGCGTCCCCTCCCCTGAGCCAAACGATCACTTCTGGCAGCTATCCTGTGACTGTATACTTGCTAAAGGGTAGGTAGATGGACTTGGGGTACGTTGTAATGTGATTTTACATGTTATAAAGAGAGTAGCGAGTGACGCAATTTATAGTTTTAATTTGTACGTCACACCAAGTGTGGGACTCAAGGACTCGGGTTAATGGAGAGGGGAGACTCGTCATGACCAGCTCATTTCTAGGATCCGGGTTAATGATCCGGATGAATCAGGACTCGCCCATCTCTACTGTAGTGCCGAGAGACGGGAGTCGGAGACGGGGTATCAAAGGTACAAGCTAGACTTTTATTTAGCATCAGAACAACATGTAAACAGCTTCAAGCCCGGGAAGCGAAGACCGGGGTAAACAGGAAGTCCGGTTAACAAAAATGTCCGTGTGGAAAAATACCCCAACCCATAGATCCGTGGGTGAATAATGTCAATCACCACATTACACACATTCCTTCACATTTGAATTTGAATTTACATTAAAGCATTTCGTGAGGCCTTCTAAAATGTTTTTAACACTAGAACCGCCAATTGGGTCAATTTGACCCAGAGCTGTTTTTTATTGTGTGTAACTTTTTTTCAATAACATATTAAAGTCTTCCAGTCCGTAACTTTTCCTGAAAGTGTGTTATGTAGCACCCTACTGTATGTTGTTAAAAATTGTCAATATGAAGTCAGATGAAAGTACGTTATGCTGGCCGGGGTGTCTAAATAATGCTTCCGGGCCAGCGGGCCATTTATAATGTCGAGCCCTGTCATATGAAAAGCTGAGAGTCCACAGATTCTATTGGTATACGTTTCATCCCTGTGCGATCAAAACTCACTGTTCAATAAAAGAACATTTTACTTTGAAAATCAATGCATTCTAATAGCGGGTCAATTTGACCCAGGTGGCGGTTTTAGGTATAAAAAAACCTCTGGCGGTTCTAGTGTTAAATATAATTAGGGTTGTAGTTGAAGAGTTTGTAAACTAGAGTTTTGCCTGGCAACGCAATCGCACAACGGCACGTCCGTTAATTCCACAACCACACACATGGATTAACATCGATTTAATACATTAATGTAGCCTTTGTTTCTGCTAAAAGAGGTGTCAACCAGCTGGGGCAACAAGAAAATCGGCGAAATCGAGTGTGACTATTACAAAATAAATAATGATTATATTAATATTGACAATAGCAACCGACCGTCGGGGTAAAGCATTTGCCGGAGAGCGTTCTCATGGCGTCTATTATCAACGCTATGGGAGGTCTATGGGACGCCCTGCCCGTTGAAAACTGACGCTCAAGGAGTACCCTGTGCGTAATAGGGTGACGGGGAGGGGCCCTGACCGACCATCAACATGTGACGGGTTGGGAGTGAGAACGTGTTGCCTGTGCAGACCACCAGATCAGCAGGGAGTCACTGTCTCTTCATTGGTGCCCCCTGCTGGTGAGGTGGAGAGTTACATTGTTACTCATTGCAGTGAGGGAGACATTGTGCGAGGGACGATGGACACAGACAAACAGACACTCAGTATCCGAGTAACCTCAGCTGCTGAGTGTCTGTGTTTGCACAACTTTGGAAAGAAAGATCAAGTGTAATGTAATTTAATAAAAAACAGGCCAACTGCAACAGCTCCACACACAAGTAAGTCAAATACGATCATTGAACAGTTGATGCAAACCATGTAAAATATGTTTAAAATAATGTCAGCAATGTGATGGGAACTCAGAGATGGCTTTTATTGCACATGCCCCTCTGAAAAGCAGGAGACCAACCATAAGTTTCACTTTACTGGAAACTAGATAATCGTTCCTGGGAAACAAAACAGAAAGTTACTGCACTAGGAATATAAAAGGAGATGCCCTGGAAAAGGTTTGGCATCGGCAAACCTGACTCAGGACAGATATAGGCTCGACAAAATATTGCATATAGTCTACAGTAGTTAAACAACCCGGGGTAAATTCTCTCTTTAAGACCCCTAAATAGCTAGTTTTCATGTTGGGCTTTCCCTGGCCTTACACAGATTGAGTCGATTTGTAATTGCCATCTGTGTGTTATCAAAAATCACAGAACAACAGGTGTGTTATGCCGTGTTTTGCATGCACCTCGCGGGAAACACTCATCTTGTTGCGTGCACGTATGAATGAATATGTTTAATATATTTACATTTTATATGAATGATATATATGTTGTTCCTTTAATTTAACATTATCATTTAGGTTGCATACTAAGAGGCAATGGCGCTAATGCAAACGTGTGGTTTTAACTTACAAGTAAATATATCTTCTCTAATATTTAACATAAGGTTTATCATTCTTTCTGCCTTCACATGATACAGGGATTCATGAAGTGAAGGTGTGGGTAGCAGATACTGTAAGAATCACCCACAATGAGTCATAGAACTATGCAAACTGGTTTACTGACTTTCCTATTGTGTTGATTCTGGCTGGAGATTGTTAAGTGACAGTGGTTACATAACATTCTCAACCAGCAAAACCTGTGGGCATGCACGAATGCACGAGTCAGGTGGCACAGGTACTTAAACCAATAGCACTACCCTGGCCTTACACAGATTGAGTCAATTGGTACTTGCCATCTGTGTGTTGTCAAAAATCACAGAACAACAGGTGTTATGCCGTGTTTTGCATGCACCTCGCGGGAAACACTCATCTTGGCTGAAATAACAGGAGGATGCAAAGAACCAGCGTTGCCAAATAATGCATCCACATAGTAGGCCTAACTTTGTTTCTAGAGTAAGGACACTTCAAATCAAACTGAATCAAATGGTGTTATCAGCACATACTTTATTTGACAGAGTGGATGTTACATTGTTTTTTTCACATTTAAAAACCTCATTTTAGAATAACAGTTTAGTAAAGATGTCTGAAATGCTTAAAAACACAGCGAAAAGAACACAAAAGAGTTCGACCTGAGAAATAATGAAAGCTTAATCAAATAAACCTTGCAAACTTAGACCAATCATATCAAGGAAATACAATATTAATGACTCAATGTTCATAAACTATAGACTTCAGATTATTTATCATCATTGATGAACCAAAAAGAAAATGATATCGTTTCCAAACCGTACTTTGCCGTACAAATCATTGAAATGTCTGGGCGTTTTCGCTTTATGCTGTGCGCGCTCCCGCGAGGTGCATGCATGTCTCGGCGGGCATAACACCTGTTGTCCAGGGCGGCTGACAGCGTGCACGTATGAATGAATATGTTTAATATATTTATATATATGAATGATATATATGTTGTTCCTTTAATTTAACATTAAAGGAACATTATTTTAACATTACTTAACATTATTATTATTTAGGTTGCATACTAAGAGGCAATGGCGCTAATGCAAACGTGTGGTTTTAACTTACAAGTAAATATATCTTCTCTAATATTTAGCATAAGGTTTATCATTCTTTCTGCCTTCACATGATACAGGGATTCATGAAGTGAAGGTGTGGGTAGCAGATACTGTAAGAATCACCCACAATGAGTCCTAGAACTATGCAAACTGGTTTACTGACTTTCCTATTGTGTTGATTCTGGCTGGAGATTGTTAAGTGACAGTGGTTACATAACATTCTCAACCAGCAAAACCTGTGGGCATGCACGAATGCACGAGTCAGGTGGCACAGGTCCTTAAACCAATAGCACTACACCGCTGCATGGAACAAATTGTTGTGGGCTGGGCTGGGTCAGAGTCCTGCCCGTTCCTAACTCATCATGTTTAATCTTTCCTTCATGGCTCATATAGTCTGCTGATTGTTTTTTTTCTCTGTGATTTTTGTGTTACATAGTTGTTGGAGTAGATGGTGTTACACTGTTACAGGATTCTTTTCAATGTTTTCAGTGAGAAGCTGTTTGAATAATCTGGAGAGTGTGGGATGGCTGAGAGTGTATCAGCAATGGATAGCTCTGATGAGGTAAACAATTAAATAACTAAAACATTACAGTACAAATAGATGTTGTCATATACACTATTGTGAATAAGGTATGATTAATGAACTCATTACTATTTCAAATTAAAACATATTTTTCTTATTACCAAGGCATATGATGATGTATCAAATCCCTTCCCTGACCCGTGCTGTGAGGAAGGAAAGAACACTCCAGCAGCACCAGAGTCCGACCGTAAGTGTGACTGTTAATAACTGATCTAATGTAACAAATATATACGCAGCGATATGTAAAGATACTGAGATGTACTTTTCTTCTCTTATGACAGATGTTCCTCCACCAGGGGAAGTAACAGTTCTTAATTCTGACCAGGAGACAGTTTCTCTTGGCTTTCCACCCACTGAAAACTCTGCTGGGTTTAGACTACAGTTAGATTACTTCTGTGAAACACACAGCAGCAGTTTGACTGTTGATGACTCCAGCCCTGTGAAGGTTGATGGACTGATACCTGGCACTGAGTATACCTTCAGCATCACAAGGATTGCAGACAATGGAAATCAAAGCAAAGCAACCTCGCTATCTGTCTTCACAGGTAAATCAGAAAAACAAGTGTTTTCTGAATCTTTTGGATCACTTCCTGAACAAATCTACAAAATCTCTGTTAAAAGCTACTTTCAGACAAATAAGGGTCTCTACACCTATTTTACTTGCACTTTAAAATGCAGACAAACTTTGACAGAATATGAATTTTCAGTTTCAGTGAAACCTTTATATGTTCCCATAGAGCCCAGCCCTCCTGTGCAGATTACAGTCGACCAGGTCAGCAGCGAGTCACTGTCTCTGCATTGGGACCCCCCTGCTGGTGAAGTGGAGAGTTACATTGTGACTTGTTGCAGTGAGGGAGACATTATGAAAGAGACAACTGACACAAACAAGATGACATTCAACAACCTGAAGCCAGGGGAGTGTTACTCTCTACAGGTTTCTACAAAACTTCGGAATGGAAGAATAAGCAGTCCAACTGTAACATCTGCCAACACAAGTAAGTCAAATAAAATCATTATTGCATGGTTGATAAAGACAATGTCAAAGATGTTGACCCAAAGATGAAGATTGGAATTGAGCAGATGGCTTTGAGTGAACATGCTTCTGGGTTAATAAAGACCTTTCAGAGTTCGAGACTGCTGAGAAAAATGCAGATTACATTGTGGTGGGCATTTCAATTCCGTTAAGAGAAACTGATAAATGATTAATACACAAATGTGTCTTTTGCTATATTTAATAAAGTAATAAAGAAAGTCAGACACAATTTAAATCAATCCAAAATGCAGGAACTGAGCAACTTCATCGTCAAAGGATAAAGAAGTTCTGCAAAAGTTGAATAGCAGCTAAAAGAAAGAGACATGAAATAATCAAAAAGTAAAGCATACATTAGTAACAAAATAAAAAAAAGACAAATAAGTACACAACCTTAGCTACAAAATTAGAAGCAGCAATTTCAGTAAACTAAGTGACATAGATGGCATTGAAGTATTGTGACCTAAAAAGAATATAAGTTGGGATATTTATAAAAATAAGTATGTTCTACATTAAAGGGATTATAGCGCCGTACAAATTGCAGATAGTGTTTATATCTCACATTGCAGGTTTATTGCACAGGATTGCAAGAGTCTCTATTTTTTTGGGTGGTTATACAGTCATTCAACATAAAATAATTCCTAATAGTATCTTTGTTTATGAGTTGGTGAAAGCTAGAGTTCATACTGACCATGGGATACTGGCCCTCAAGATGGCACAATGTATCCAGCACCAATTATTGGCCAGTTGTCGATGAGTGTCCTCCTTAGCCGCTTTCACACAAAGTACTTGCGAGCAAAAAAAATGGCGGCTTCACAAAACTTTTCAGAGTTTTACGGGGCGTGGTTTGCAATTCGCCCAGCCAATTAGAAATTGTTAGTGTGGCTGACACACCCACGAACCATTTCCTCCGCTACCTCTCTAGCAGGGACTATCTGGGGTTGAAAAGGTTCGCGCGAACTAGGGACTAGGCCCAGATCCTTTTTGGTGTGAAACCAAATCTCCCCCCCCTATCGGCCTAGTTCGGGGGGGAAATTACTCCGGTGTGAAAGCGCCTCTTGAGTCTTTTAAGATAATTTCCAGACCCAGAGGTCAGAGTTCTGAGAATTTCATAAATCTGCTGAATTCTGATGCTCACCAATATCTCTATCCACCTCTTTTAAAGGGGACCTATCATGCAAAATGCACTTTAGTACGTCTTTTATAGATGAATATGTGTCCCCGGTGTTCCAGGGAACTCACCAAGTGTCAGAAAACACAACCCTCTCTATTTTCCTCCATACCCAAATCTCTAAAAAAGGGGCTGCAACGGATCTGATCAAAACTGATCCAGATTTGAACACTGTCCTGACGTCAGGACAGTGGCGCTACGGCTATTGGGCCAACTCCACCAATCAGGAGGAAACAGCCACGGCCATTGCCGTTCGAAAGCACTGGAGACGCTGTAGTACATATGCCAGGCCTGTAGATGGTGCTGTTCTCACTGAATCTGCCCTTGCAAATAAAGAGCTAAAAAATGTCAAATTGAGCAAAATGAGGCATGGCTAAAATGCATGATCTGTTTGGTATTTTGAAAAAAAAAAAGTATAAATATGCCTTATATAGGTATGGTCCTACACTATATTATTCAAATATAGCATGATAGGTCCACTTTAAGTCCTTTTACAATTCCATCAATTAGATTATTATGTCTTTTATCTTCACAAAGATTTACATTTCGGACCTACTTCAAAACTAATGGAAACAGAAGATTGAATTCTACTACCGGTATTGTCAAAGGTTTTGTATCAATGCATTAGGCAAACAGTTTACTGATTGACTGCCCAAAATAGTCATAATTTTTGCAAAATGTAATTGTGTTAAAGCAAAATTCAGTAAAATGTTAGAAATCTAAATGCTAAACATTGGATTGAGGACGAGAAAAATAATGGGTTTAATATTCATATATATTTTTTAAACAGAGACACACCTAGAGAGCTTACTGGAGGATCTGGGGTTGGATCACCACGATGAAGAGAAGCTATCCCTCAGCACAGTTCTAAGCATTGACGAGAAGACCATTACCGATGAACCTGCCAAGTGTAATTCAGATCTTCCATGGTATTTTCTGAAGAAACTAATGATGGTTAATGTGACAGCTAGGAATGTGAAATGTACATCTGCATGCGAGTCAAACTCTGGGGATCGCTTAGATCTTGATAATCTTGTCAAAAGTACACATTCAGGTGACACACTGAATCCCCTTGATATTATCACTGCTCTCTTCCTGTGCTCTGATGGTTTTGTACAGCAGGAAATGGCCCTCAAAATGTCCATGTGTCAGTTTTCCGTGCCTCTGTTGCTTCCCAACTGTGACACAAAGCAGTGCACACTCATGCTTTGGGCCATGAGAGACATTGTTAAAAAGTACAGACCTCAGTCACTTTCAGAATCCAAGGGATTTACTGAAGAGAGAATTGTTGTCTCTGAACTTCCAATGATATCTTTTGTGAGACTGGGTGAGTGCTCCTTGTCCAAGTCAGAGATCCTCAATAAGCTTCTGAGCAGTTCTCAGCAGTACCATAACACCTTCGTTCACCGCAACATGGAGGGTGGGGACAGTCCAAGGAGAATATCCAATGGATTGGTTGAAATGACTTGGTACCTCCCTTGTGGGAACAAAAACATGGATGTCTTCAGCGAGCCAGTTGCCGTAGCTAACCTTCGTGGGGACATTGCTTCATTTGAAACACAATTTGCTTTCTTGTGTCAGACATCGGCAGCAGTTTTTGTGTTCTTTGATGCTTTGAACTCTGAGTGTGAGCTGCTAACCAACCAAAACCACAAGGCCCAGATCTTCTTGGTGGGTAACCTTCCAAACAAGCTTTTCAGTTTGGATGCTGTAAAAAAGGTAGCAACCAAGTTGGACTTGACTAACAGCAACATCCTTTTAAAGACTAAGAGCATGAATGATGCAGACTTTGTCAAAGATTTGCAGGAAAAAGTCAGCAATGTATTTGAAAACTCACAGATGAAGATGGGAATTGAACAAATGTCTGCCATTGCCCATGAACTTCGAATCTGTGTTGATGAAGACTCTCCAGAGTGCCAGACTGCCAAGCAAAATGCAGATGCTATCACTGCAGAAATTCAAGACATTCTTAAATACAAAGAAGCTCAGCTTCCCTTGCAAGGCCAAATATGGAAGGAGCTTACTCGCTTAGAGAAGGAAGAATTCCGGCTTCGGAAAGTTGGGTCTGAAAAAATAGAAGAGTATAAAAGTGATCTTCAGGTACAGAAAACCAAACTTCGGGAAAAACAGAACTCTCAGAACATGTCCAAGGCAATCGCATGTTTCATCAGTGCAATATCGAGCCCAGGGATTGAGAAGAAAGAGGAGGAGGAGAAGAAGAAGAAGAAGATAGAGAGGTTCTATTTCCTGAAATGGATGCGAATGAACCTCGATAACGTGTCTCGAGAGAAACTCTGTGACCTCAGGGAGCAGTACAAAGAAAAATGCAAAAACCCTGAGAACAAAGAGGAGATCAAGGAGATTGACCAACAACTTTCCAACAGCTCATTAGGGACTGAACACTTCTTCCGTGAAATGGGGCAGATCTATGAAGCTTCCCTTTCCCTTCCTGAAACAGACCCAGCACGTCAACAACTACAGCATCTCCCCAAGCTATGTGCTGAGTTAATGCTTGATGGATTTCCACTTGAGCTTGTAGATGGAGAAGCATCCAACATACCTCTCAGATGGGTGAGTGACGTTCTCTCTCAGCTCAATGACTTGGTGTCTCCTAAGAACAAGATCCTGGTAGTCACAGTTCTTGGAGTTCAGAGCACAGGAAAGTCCACTCTCCTCAACACCATGTTTGGAGTGCAGTTTGCAGTCAGCAGTGGTCGATGCACTCGAGGTGCCTTTATGTTGCTGATTAAAATCAATGAAGATGTCAGAAAAGACTTCAACTGTGACTTCATGGTGATCATTGACACTGAGGGCTTAAAGTCACCAGAGCTCGCACAACTGGACAATAGCTATGAGCACGACAATGAGCTTGCAACACTTGTTGTGGGGCTGAGTGATATCACCATCATGAATATTGCAATGGAGAATTCAACAGAAATGAAGGACATCCTACAGATAGTTGTACACGCTTTCCTCAGGATGAAAGAGGTGGGCAAAAAGAAGCCCAAATGTCAGTTTGTTCACCAGAATGTGTCCGATGTTTCAGCCCATGACAAGAACATGCGAGACAGGAAACTGCTCCTGCAGCAGTTAAACGAGATGACCCAGGCAGCAGCCAAAATGGAAAAGAAAGAAGAGTACTCGAGCTTCACTGATGTGATGGAGTACAGTCCAGACACTGGAAACTGGTACATTCCTGGACTCTGGAATGGAAACCCACCGATGGCACCAGTCAATGCAGGCTACAGCGAGGCTGTCTATGAGCTCAAGAAGAACATAATCACCATTTTGGGAAGTTGTGGATCATCAGCTAATAATATCTTGGAGTTTACAGAGTGGATGAAGAGCCTGTGGACGGCAGTAAAACATGAAGACTTCATCTTCAGCTTCAGAAACAGTCTCGTGGCTGATGCATACATGAGGCTGTGCACACAATTCAACAAATGGGAATGGGACTTCAAAAAAGAAATGTACACATGGGTTACACAAGCTGAAACAAGAATCTCCAATTTTGGTACACCTGCTGATAAATCTAACAAATCTGACATGAGAGAACTTCTCATGCTATTGAAAAATGATGCTTTGACAGAGCTGTCTAAATGGGAAACAAAGCTTCTTGAAAATCTGGACCAGTACTTCAAGCAAACAGAGGGTCATGTCTATCTTGTTGAGGGATACAGAGAGGAGTTTAAAAACAGTGCAAAGAGCCTTCGACAAGAAATGGAAAGCTCTGTGTTTAATCAACTCACAGCAGCAGCTGACATCAGACAGGGGATGACAGAACTTGATAAAATCAAGGAGAACCACACAAAGGACTTAGAGGGCAGAGTATGTGTATTGATTGAAGAATGCCGAAAGGAAAAAGTCCAGATGAAAGAGAAAGAGCTGGACAAAGAATTTGAAAAGATGTGGACTGAAACAGTGAAGGAACTATCCTTTACAGAAATGAAGGAGGAGGACATTTTCACCAGTGTGTCTCACCACCTGAGAACAAATCTATCAACCAAGGGAGGTCATGCAAGTGATTTGTTAAGTCAAAAAAGCCTGAGAGATTGTGGACTGGTGTCTTTTAAATATACAGTTGAAGGACTCTTCAATAAAGGTGCAGACACATTTAAACAGTGGTTAAACATACCAGGTAATGCAAAGGCTGTACAACAAACAGCTGACAGCATCATTGCAGTTTGCTCACAGATGGTGAGTGAAAAAATGCAAAGAAAGAGTAATTACCATGATACCTACATCGATGAGATTCTAAACATGATTGATGAGAGGCTGCAAAACAATCAGGAAGTTGGAACAGACATCACTTTTGAAGTCTCTCTGAAACAGCACATCTGTGCAGACGCAGCCAGAAGGTTTCAGAGACTGCATGAAGATTTCCTCCAAAAGAATGATCCCTACAGATGTCTGAACGAAAACAAAGGAAAGTTTCTTGCTGATTTTAAAGACTTGTTCCATAATGTAGACCAGTGCCAGAAGAAGGCAGAAGAATTCACAGACCGATGCTTGAAGCCTGCAGTCGAAGACTTTGTCAACCGTTCCCTGGGTCCTGATATCATTGGTGAAATGAAGACAAGTGAGCAGTTCAGCACAAGAATGTCCTTCCAGTATTCACTTTTACTGGATCTGCTCTCAGAGGATGACTTTAAAAAGTATGAGAGCTTTATTTCCTCTTATGAGAAATATGTGAAGGAATGGATACTCAACAAAATATTGGAACGCTTCTCAGATGGGTCTACGATGTTTGAGGATCAACATCTCCAGTCATGTGTCAACAGCATAAATAATGCTATCCAGAAAGCTAAAACAGAAAAGAGTGGCAACTTAAAGTCATTTGTTGAAGTTGTCTGTCAGGAACTTGGTGACAAACTGGTCATTTCCCAGGATGCTCTTGGGGCATTCATGACCCTGAACAAGGCCGACAAGGAACAGTTTGCTCACTGGCTCACTGAGTGTGTGACGGAGATGGCACACACTCTTAGAAAGAAGTTTAAAAAAACAAACATCCAAACTAAACTACAGAGCCTTCATGTGAATCCTCAGGACAAGCTTTTCAACACACTGATTGGATGTGGTAAACAGTGTCCGTTCTGCAAAGCACCCTGTGAGGCAGGAGGAAGAGCCCACACTGAGCACTTCGCTTCACTTCATCGTCCAGAGGGTCTGGGTCGATGCAGATGGAGTGATACAGAAAAACTTGGCATTGACATATGCTCTTCCTCTGTGAACAGTGACGAAGGTTTTAGCTGCAGTGATACAAAAGATCAACCGCACCCTTACAAGCGTTACAAAGAAATCTATCCAGACTGGAAAATCCCACCAGATGCAAGCCTCCAGGCATCAGACTACTGGAAATATGTACTGGCAAAGTTCAACAATGAGTTTGCAGCAGCATACAATGCAAAGCCTGCTGATATTCCTGCAGCTTGGAAACTTATCACACCTAAGCAAGCAGAGGCAAGCCTCAAAGAGTCATTTCATATCTAATGAGAAACTACAAGCTTCGTGCTCACAGAGGGTCCCGTCCTCCTCATTACAGTCATCATCCTCTCATGGACATTTAGATTACACTTGATTTATATGAAGAGAAGCACACAAAGTAACATGCTGTTTATGAGATGGCAAGGTTGACCATATATTTCAACAACAACTTACAAGGAATTTGTAAACGTTTCAGTTTGATTAACATACTTTAATTACTTCTTTTTTTGGTTGTTATTGTAGTATCAATTAATCAAATTATTTCCTTAAAGTAACTGATGCAAACATTTTTGTTTTTATGTTTTTCTGTGCTTTTGTCATAAACACATTAACAATTTCAATGCTTTAAAATATCATTCAGTCTTCATGTCAACATCAAGATTATACAATGTCTTTATTTGTATTTCAAATAAGTATCTGATTCTTATTATTTACATTTGTATTGACACATTTAGAATTGTTGTCTTTTCATTTCTGAGCTGCATCAAAAGCCACACATTTAGATGTTTAAATCAGTGAATGAATCATTGTGTTTTAGTGGTGGTACAGTCAACATGTAAACATGACAGAAAGTCTGTTGTCATCAAGTTCAGTTTGACATGTGACCGTTTCCCAGAGAGTTAGAATCTATTCTTATTTTGTTTCATTTATATATTTACATTTTCAATGTTTAACATATCATTCAATCTAAATGTCAACATGTAGATTACACATGAATGTTGTTCTTACCTTATTGAGTGCTATATGTCATTGTCTTACCAAAAACCTGAAAGTCTTTCTTTGTATTCCAATCAAGCATTTAGCTCCAAATATTTACATTTTGATGTTCATGTTATAATATTTACTCAAAATGTATTATGTTAGTTTTCATTTTCAAATGCCACATTTTTTACATTTTTAGATCAATTAAAGGATCATTTAGTTCATATTCAGCATGTCAACATGTAAACATGACAACAAGTTTGAATCAAGTTAAGGATGATATAAAGATGGTATTGTTTTTGTGAATATTTATTTTGTTGCATTTTTTATGTTTAAAAGATATTCCAGTCTAAAGGTCAACATGTAGGTTATCCTTCAGGTTGTTTTTATTACCTAATCCAGTATGACATTTAATTGTCTTTGTTCAAAATCTATAACCACTTTGTTTTCTGTCATTGAAGAATCTGATATCACATATTTACATGTATTACTCACTTAAAAGATCATTCAATATAAAAGTGCTATTGTCAACAAGTAACAGCTTCATATATGATCTTTCTTTTACTCAGATCTTCTAATCTTTTGTTTCTGTGAAGTATCTGATTCTTTATATTTACGTAATAAAAAATACCATTCATTCTTTATACTGTTCATTTCTTTATAATGTTAACATGTATACTTACTATTGTTTACTATTTCAATAAAGAGACCACATCTGCAGACTGGCTATGGATGTCTTTAATGTTTCCCAGATCTGAATCACAGCATACAGAGTATAATAACTTCTAAAGTAAACAGAAATATCATCACCTCATTTATTTATATAGTTTAAATATACTTTTTTTTTTAATAATCATCTTTTTTTAATACCATTATTTAAAAAATGATGTTCATCTCAAATCTTAGGATTCTGAATACAACAAATAATGTAAAAACAAGACAACAGGTGCAACTCTGCAATGAATCGTGTGTGTGTGTGTGTGTGTGTGTGTGTGTGTGTGTGTGTGTGTGTGTGTGTGTGTGTGTGTCACTGTCTTTACCGTGGGCCACATGAAGTCATTTTGGTTTGCTTGGCTGACTGCAGTCTGCTGAGGCTAGGTGTGTCCACATACATCCAGTCTGATCCACGGCTAATCACAGGTTCAGACTCTGAAAGTGAGAGACATTCAGATTAACTTAAAGTTGAATTTAAACTGTTAACAAGAAACTAGAAGTAAAGAATGTTTTGAAGGATGTGTGTGCATGTTTTGCTTTCTAGTGTTTTTGTGTTGATTTGTCCCATAACTGTATATTTTGCTAATTAAAAACACATGATTACATTTGGATAAAGAAAGTATAGATGGAAACACAACAAGGGGGAGTCAGTCCATGTCATTCATTATCTTCATCTTCAGGTCAGCGGAGTTGACAATAATGATTGACCTGTGTTCAACCCTGAGCATTGTTTTAACAGTGTTAAAGATACATTCAGCCAGTTATATCATTGTTCAAGAAATCAATCACATGGTCTTACTGAAAACTGTCCTTTACCTATTCATTCTGAACATGGACTCCAGCAGACTACTGACATCTAGTGGACATGAATTGCAACAACACCTACTTTAAACTCAGGATTTCTCTTTCTAATTGTTATTTTTAAAACATAAAGACATGGAACCTTAAACATTTCTTAATTGGACCTGACAATTAAAGACATTAAATTTAAAGACATTTAATTTAAAACACAACCGTAGCCTCAAGACATGCAAAGTGAATTAAGAAGAGCAACTATCTGCAATTGACAACTTAATATGTTTAACTACAGTTGTCCCAATTGAAGCTCCCGTCACAGTGTACTGACTGATTCTGCAGTCCATTGCTGCTGTCACCATCAAACATCTCCACACACAGACAACACAATCATATCTGTCTACTGATTTATCAGGAAAACTCACAAGGTTTATCCCAATATCCATCCTCAACTTGACCCGGAAATCAATCGTTGAAGCACGTCATGATTCCTTAAATGCGTGCGGAGGAGTCGATGAATGAGGAGGCTTCCAGAGGAGAGGGGCGCGAGGAAACACGAGTGCAGGCTATGCGGAAGTGTTATTGCTACATGCGCATCAAAGCTCCGCCCACAGATCCAGAGCCGTGTGCATACTGCGGCTGTTCTGTCTGTTGAAGAATGATCTGAGTCTTCAAATGTTACATTTGCTTGATTTTTTGTAAAACAGATATATCTTTGATTAAGGAGGAGATCCTTCTCGACAACACATTCAAGTGTTTGAAATAAACTTACACATTCAATAATAATGGTATGATAATAATTATTGTCAGTATTAATGAATCATTTACAGTTCATAAAAGTGGTTTATTTGCATGCGTGGATAAAGGACACTGAATTTAAAACAATTAATTGGTAAATACAATTATTATTATTGTGTTATTTCTATTTTATTTAAATGAATACATTTGTGTCTGAGTTATTAGTTTAGTCTTTGTGTGTTTTTATTTGTTGTCTTAATAAATGAAAAAATAATTTAAAAGTTGGTTTGTTTAATGTTGTCAAGAGTGAGTTCGAGTCGATCATCATATCCTGAAGCAGAGGCTGGTCAGTATTGGCATATCCAGCCATGCAGTGGGGTGGTTTGGGAACTACCTCTCTGAAAGGTCCCAATGTGTTCAGTTTGATGGGCTGTCTTCTGACTGTTTAAACATTACAAATGGTGTTCCCCAAGGTTCTGTTTTAGGTCCAATTTTATTCTCCATCTACATCAAGAGTTTAGGTCAAAATGTGGATGGAGCAACTTTACATTTTCATGCGGACGATACCGTGATGTATTGTGCAGGTCCCTCCACGACGGAGGCTGTTGTTAAATTGCAGGCTCTTTTTAATATTATTCAGACTCAGCTCCCCTGAGCTTAAGCTTATTTTAAATGTTGATAAAACTAAGGTAATGCTATTTTCGAAAGCCAAAAACACACCGGAGACCACTTTGGATATTGTTCTCTCTCTCTCTAGGTCGTCCTCAGATGAGCCCTCCATCGTCGCTTCCAGTCATCCCGGTTCTCCATACATCTGGCTAGTTCATTGGTACTTTGTGCTCCTGCGTCATTCTTGAGTACGTCCACGTATGTTGGTGTGGCACGTCCTCGTGACCGATGCCCGTGTGTTGGTTCCTACAGCACCAATTTGCCGGCTGGCAGCTCTTGATGCCTTTGGCTATGTCCAGCGCCATATAGATAGAAGAGTTACGACAGCGGAAGTCCAAAATGCTTGATCGTCACGTGGTTCAGGGAGAGTCAATAGTTCCCCGGAAGTTCGTGGCGGGACATATGAATGCATGATTACCGGAGATAGAACTACGATTTTTGGTAATAAGTAGTGAATAAAGGTCTTGATTTGCAATATTTATACAACATACCGATATGTGTATGTATTTACTGTGGAGGAAACTTCTGTGTAGCAATGCATGGAGTCACCGACTCAGGAAGGAGACACGGTGAGAGTTGGAGCTTTGATGTCAAACACTGATGGGTTTATTCAGAGTATTCGGCCGGAGGATTCACATCACAAATCAAAGAGTCAGAGGTTCTGACTTCACGGTAGAGTTGCCACGTCAATTCTGAAGAGCCTCTCTCTATGCTAGCCCTTTTAACAGGTTCACAGAGAGAAATCAACATCTCTGAAGGAGTAGACTAAACAGCGGGGAACACTGAACCACCTGCGTCCGACACTCATGGCCTCAAGAATTTCACATCTTAGAGTCCACAAACACCGATAAAGAAGTGCCTCAGCATTCTCACAACAATTACCCTTCGTGCCAGACAAGTTGACCGGTCACAAACTGATGACAACAACACATATGGCACCAAGGCCTTTCCTTAAAGGAGATAACAGACGTCAGAGTAGATCATAAAACGTCACAGAGCAAAAGGTTAGATATCTAGAAGAATTATTCCTTAACAGTTCCTCTCTTTTTATCATTTTTGATAACCTTAAAACATTAGTCTAATAATAATTCTGGTCAATACTTAAATCAATAGGCGTCTTCAGATTCGAGTGTGGTCTCACCTTACATTCAATTACATCACAAAGTAGAATAAGATTGAAACATTCAATCACAATGATTGATACAGGCAATCATAATAGGAACAATTATCTCTCATCAGTGTTTGGAGCATCTTTTGTCAATAAGTACAATAATGAACACACATAAAACACAGATACATAATAGCAAAATATTTGTTTTAAACTAATATCTTTTATCATTTAAACCATTAGTTAATGTCATTTATCAAACTATAAAATCAAAACCAGCTTGCAGCTTAAAGATTTGCTTTAAGGCAATCACTAGTCAAAAGCATTTAAAACTTAGGATCATAAGAGATCCAGCTAAGGCATAACATTCACAGCTGGTGATTTGATCAATCTGTAATCTGCAAAGTTGCACTGTCCTCAATTTTAGGATTACTTTACGTTTACTTCATTACGCTTTAGCCAAGAGTAAGGCACTTAGTCTTAGTAAAATCAGTACATTCATTTTAGTCAAGTACATTGTTCAAAATCTGAAAAGGAAAAGTTAGGCAAATATTCAAAGACTT